ATCCCATTGTTACCTGGTCCTATATCATCAAACCAGATACTTTCTTATCTCTCTCCCATCCTGTATAAATCATCCTCTCTCTGGTGTCCTGCCTTGCTGTCACTTCTCCAGTAAAGTGGCTCAACCATCTCATATAGAAATAGGAAATCTTTACCACAAATGCCAGCTTCAAGACTTAGCCATGCTGTGTAGGAGGTACCCAGCACGCAATGATAGTAAATTTAGCCCTGACCCTGACTACTATCCACTCCAGCCAGATAGGCTGCATTCTTGCTGCACACTTTTACAATTTCATACCTATCAACTCAGTATCCTCAGTATTCTCTTTGTCTAAACATCTTAGTCCTCATTTCTGGAACTAGCAGGTTAATTTCTCCTTGTCCTCCAGGAAGTCCCTTGAGTATCACTTCTCCTGGCTACTTTCCATCACAGCTGCTCTGGGTCAGGTGCTACTTCTGAATGTTTTGGAGGCACTTGTAGGCTTATGCACTGAGAATTATTCATGCCCTTACAACCTCTTGGAAGACAGAAATTTTAACACAATATTATTAGAAACTGGGCCTGGGCCTGGGGAATTGTGGCTCACTGTTTTAGGTGAGTTAATACTTTAGACTTATTGGTGGGTCTTTACAGCATGGATGTTGAGCACTCAATATTGAATCACACCCATAGAATAATACAAACTCTGGTTATTATGAAGAACACATCTTAAACAATGGTTTTATTTTGTTTTAGTTTACACGTATGAGTGTTTTGTCTGTGTGCAAGTCTGTGCACCACATGTGTGCCTGGTGTCCGCAGAAGCTGGTGTCAGATTCCCTGGAACCTAAGCTATGGTGGTTGTGAGCCACCATGTATATTCAGGGAATTGAACTTGTTCCTCAGGAAGTGCAGCCAGTGCTCTTAACTCCTGAGCATCTCTCCAGCACGACCATATACAATGAAAACCAGCACATTTATTAGGGACATTTGTCCATATATATTCTTATCACTTCCCACATATTTATCAACCTCTTATATTTATTTGATTTTGTACAAATCTATCTTCAATAAATGATACCAAATTCTCTAGACCCACTAGGAAAATCGTGGCCCTTCTTCAATGTGAGCTCTCATCCGTATTCATAAAGATAGCACTTCCTTCTGGAAATACCTTTCCTTTCCCTTCTCTGAGATATCCTACTTTTCCCATTGCTCTATTTCCCTATTTAGTCCTTAGCTTCCTTTGCTAGCTCATTTTGTACTACCCAATTTTCAAATATTAAGATTCCACTCAAACACACATGTACACTAAATCACGCACACACATAGACCATGCATGCACACAGAATTTTAAAAATCTCTTTTCCTCCCTCCCTCCCTCTTTCCCTTCCTCCCTTCCTCCCTGCCTCCTCCCTTTCCTTGAACAGTCTTAAACTCCTTCTGTAGCTGCGAATGGCAATGAACTTTAGGCATCCCTGCATCCGTCCTCGAGAGTGCTGTGATTATGTTGTACCACCACACCCAGTTTGTACAGCGCTGGTGCTAATCAAATGCAGGGCCCATGTGTGTTGGGCAATCACTCTATCCATGACTACATCCCTGCTCTTTATTTATACTCTTTGATCAGATTTGTGCTGTGGGTTTTTGTTGTTGTTTTTAAATCTCAGAACCTTTGTTCATATGGGGGGGGGGAATGCTTGATTATTTAGTTGATTTGTTTGAGACAGGGTCTTGCTATGAAGTCCAGGCTGGCTACAAGCTCACAACAATCCTCCTGCCTCAGGCCTCCCATGTTCTAGAATTACAAAGTATATACCACCATACCTAGCTTTATTATTTAGCTTTTATGTGTGTCAATGTGTGTGCACATGTGTGCACGTATTTGTGCATATGTGTGCATGTGCCCATGGCTAGAGGTCAATCTCAGGTGTTATTCCTCAGGGCTGATCACCTTTGTTCTTTCAGACAGTCTTTCACTGGCTTAAAACTTACCAGGTAGTCTAGGATGGCTGGCTAACAAACCCCAGGACTCGGCCTGTTTCTGTCACCTCTCTAGTGCCAGGATTACAAGTGCATAGCTACAATGCCCACCTAACTTTTCCTTTTGTTCTTTCTCCTCTTCTTCCTTCCCATCCTCCTGCTACTCCTGCTTCTCCTTTTCCCTCTCCTCCTCCATTTAACTTGGATTCTAAGGATCTAACTCAGATCATCATGCTAGTAAGGCCAGCTCTTTGCCAACTAAGCTATCTTCCTATCCTGGGAGTTATATTTAGAATCCCCTTGTAGGTTCCAGCTACCCTATATTGCCTAAGGTTACAAAGTGTTGGATGGTGTAGAATTCTGTTGGTTGATGTAACATTCTCATAAAATAATGTAGACAACAGAAATGTTATCCCTTCCCTCAAAGAGTGGCATGATCGATTTAAAATCCATTTGGACTATATTTGGAAGCTCATATACAGTGTCTCTGAAGCACAAAACTAGATTTTATTTCTAAATATGGGCATCATGATGTGGGAGGAAATGATGTCTCAACTCAAACCCAAAGTATGTGGAAGATGTAGTCAGGCAAAGCGAGGGGGAAAAACATTTTGAGCAGATGAAAATGTGACAGAAAAATAACTTTGTGAATCTATTTTTGTGACTTAGGAAGATCTGGAGACACTCAGTACTTATAACACTATCACGATCACTGATTTGTTTTGCCATCACTTGCTGAGCTTTATAATGGCAGAATATGTAACAATTAGCCAGTAAATGCTTGTGTAATAAGTGAATGTGGCTAAGTAAACAAGAGAATGCTAGATACAAGGGTATAGAACAGAAAGCCATATTGAAATGAAGATAGAAACTGCAGACGTGCTGTATTAGACAAGAGAGAGAGAAGCAATGTGAGAAGGGGAGAGTGAGAAAACCTGAAGGTACCCAGGAGATTTGGATGCTTAGCAGGTATACTAGAGGAATTTAGCCCAGCCTTTAAAGTATAACCTTTCAGAAGTTCACACGAGGCTCTTCTGTATGCTAACCTGAAAGTTTCTTTTGGAAGGCTTATATTCCTAGAGAAGTACAAAGGCTTTACATGGACATAAAATAACATCTTCAATTCAGTACTTTCTTTTGGACTATTAGATGTATCTAATGTCCACATTCTCAGTGAAATTCTTTTGCATTTCAAATCTGTTGGATTGTCTTGGTCTTTCCTCTTTGAAAGATGAAAACCTATTCCAAATGTTGTTGGACCTAAAAAAAAAAAAAAAAATCACTTGACACTCAGAGCTGTTTTTATTATTCTGAACTATGTGATTTGATTTTAGTCAAAACAGTTAGGAGTTTGTTTGGTTGGTTTTTTAAAGTTCTAATAGGGATGATTACCATAGGAACAATTGAAGCCTCCATTCCTGGCCCATTCTCAGCCTGGCAATGCATCTCTGGTTGAGTACAATAGTTACTCTTGTACTCAGGACTTCAGCAGAGTTGCAAAAGCATTTGATTCCAGCTAGGCAGCAGCAACAAGACAAGATATACTCCCAGGCAGATCCTTCACATTTAGTCCAGAGCATCAGAACGAACTAGCCTGCTTCTGATAAGAGGACCTTCCATGCTTCCATCCTAGTTTTGGGATCAGAATCTCTCCAGGTGATTTTTATGTCCAGGGGGGAAAAAGGCTAGTGACCTTTAGGCTTTAGACCATCTCTGCCCTTAGAGAGTGTAAAAAAGCCTCTGTGGTATTCTGTTTGTATGTTTATTTGCTTGCTTGCTTGTCTTTGGAAACTTGATTTCTCTATTCAACCCTGGTTGTCCTGGAACTCACTTCTGTAGACCACGCTGACCTCAAATTTACAGAGATTTATCTGCCTCTGCCTCCCAAGTGCTGGCATTAAAGGTGTGTGGCTCTAAGGATATTCTTACTACTTTTTTGTAAAAAGAAAACAAAAATCTGTAAATTGACTAATTATAGTTGTATATAATTATAGGGTACAATGTGATGTTATGATTTATAAATGTGTAGTATAATTAAGTCAAGCTAATTACCATCTTTCACTTCAAGTAGTTATCATTTTTATTTGAAAGTTATAGCAATTTTTAAATATGTAACATTCTATTACAAACTAAATTATTATTCAATACTTTTAAAAACCTTATTCTTTTTTTTTTCTTTTTTTGGTTTTCAAGACAATGTTTTTTGTGAAACAGCCCTGGCTGTCCTGTAACTCACTGTAGACCAGGCTGGCCCTTGAACTCACAGAGATCCACCTGCCTCTGCCTGCTAAATGCCTCTCAAGTACTGGGATTAAAGGTGTGTGCCACCGTTGCCAGGCTTCTTCCTTCTATAATTGAAGTATTTTGTTCCCTTTGGCCTTAATCTCCTCAGTGACCATCATTGTACTCTCTGCTTCTGAGTTTGATATTTTTACATTTTACTATATATTATATATAAGTAATAATGTGTGGCCTTTGTCTTTCTCTGCCTGGTTTATTTCACTTGCCTTAGTTCTCCAATTTTATCCATATTTCACAAAGAATAGATTCTGGTTTTGTAAGGTTGCAATATAATCTATTGTGTTTGTATGACAAATTTTCTTTATCTATTCAGAATTGATTCTATATTTTGCTCCTATGAATTGTGAGGCAATTAATATATGAATGCAAACCTCTTTTTAACTAACTGATTTCAAGTCTTTTGGGAATATATCCAAAAGTAAGATTGCTGTGTCTTTTGGTAGTTATACTTTTATGTTTCTCAGATATCACTACAGTTTTCCATAATTATTATGTTAAATAACTTTCCCACAAATACTTCTGAAATATATTACTACTTAGATAAAACAGGCCAGACTGTATAAAAAGGTAAATAATAGTAAAAGTTAGCCTAAGCTGAGTGCTCGGAACAGTGAATGCTGGTGGATGAAAGGCAGCTCCCATGTTTAAATGAGGCCCTGCATGCTTGGGTTCTGCCACTCAACTATCTGAACCAAACTGAGGATTCTTAACATTTATTCTATGTTCTCACACTCCAGAGTATTCAAAATGAAGGAGAAAGTGAAACAAAAGAGAGAACAAAGAGAATATATAAGCACAGTCAAAGTCAAGGTGGCCACCATGAGAAAGCAGGCTCTGGAGGAACAGTTCAGTGAATGGATTCTCAACCCCAGAGGAATGATTCCTATAGTTGTGGTAAGAGAAAGAATACATGTGAAGGGTAGAGGGATGAGTGCTAAGAGGGTTACTGCTACCGGGCTAAGTGGGACTATGTCAGCTCTTGACCTTTCTACCCCATGGGAGCTTATTGATTTCTTCTATTTGTCAATGGACATGAAAAATAAAATGGAAATCTAGTAAAGTTTTTTAAAATTTTGATTCTGACAAGGGTTTCCAATCTAATCATTACAAAGATGGATTTCCTGTGTGTGAGAGAGAGAAATAGAGAGAGAGGGACTTTTTGTGTATCTGTGAGACCATATCTCTTAGCTGCAAAGAACAGATACTCTCTAAGAATAAAGTATTTTCTCTTAGCTGTGTAGGCATTTGAAAATATTTAATCATAAGATACAATGCCAATCATATTTCACTTTAAGGTAAATGACTTTAAATAGACCAATGAAGAAGAGCTGTGGAAGAAATATTAACAAAAACAAAACTTATTAAAGACTATTGTCCAAAATATAAAATAATCATTAATTAAAATTCAACAGTAAAAAAATCAAATAGCCCTTTTAAAAATAGGCAAAAGCCAGGCCTGGTGCCACATGTTTACAATCCCAGCACTCAGGAAGCTGAAGCAAGAAAACAACTTTAAGTTCAATACCAGCCTGATCTACATAGTGAGACACTATCTGAACAACAACAACACACACATACACACACACACACTGAACAAAAGACATGACAGGCACTTCACCAAAAGTACATAATATATGCAAATAGCAAATAAACCTTTGAGACAATGCCAACATCACATGCCATTAAAGAATTGTAGATCGCTGGGTAATAGTGGTGCATGGATTTAATCCCAGCCTAGCAGACAGAGGTAGGTGGATCTCTGTGAGTTCAAGGCCAGCAGAGTGAATTTTAGGACGGCCAAAGCTACACAGAGAAACCCTGTCTCAAATAACAAGAATAAACCAAACAAACAAAATGATTGTCTTTTATTCTTTCATTTTGTGTGGGGATGGGGGACAATGTGCATGCAACAGTGGAGGTCAGAGAACAATTTGTAGATGTCAGTTCTCCACTTTGTAGTTCCTAGACCAAACTCCAGAGATATCCTGTCTCCAAAAATAAGCAAACAAAAAGAACATTCATTCACTACTAGTACAAAATACAAAGCAGTACAATCACTTTGAAAAAAATGCTGCTTATGAAACTAAATCAACATGGAAGATGTGTTGAGTTATCTCACAAGTGTGAGGTACCTAAAGTTGTTTCATTCAGAGAAACAAAAAGCAGGGTGGCAGTTACAAGGGGGAATGGGTGAGAGGAAGAGGAGTTGGTCTTCAGTTGCTATAGAATTTTAAACTGTGAAAAGAAAAATCATAAGTATATATTTCACAACAATGTAAATGTTCTGCACATACATATGTACTCTTTAAAATGACTAAATCGACACATGCCTATTATCTAAGAACTTGGAAGGCTGAGACAGGAGGATTGCTATAGGTTTGAAACCAACCAGGGCTACATTGTAGCAGAGATGGTTCAGCATTTAAGAGCATTTATTGGCTGCTCTTCCAGAGAACCCAGATTCAATTCCCTACACCTATATGGTGCCTCACACCTGTGTGTAACTCAGTTCCAGAGGATCTGATGCTCTCTCCTAACCTCTGGCATTAGGCAGACATTTGGTGCACAGACATACATGCAGGCAAAACACCCACCCATACACGTGAAATAAATTTAAAACAACAACAAAAATCTCTCTTTCTAAACCAGTGGTTCTCAACCTTCCTAATGCTGAAACCCTTTAATATAGTTCTTCATGTGTGGTGACCTCCAAACATACAGTTATTTCCTTGTTACTTCATAATTTTGCTACTGTTATAAATCATAATGTAAATATCTGTTAGGCAGGATATCTGATATGTGTTGGGACCCCCAAAGGAACACAACCCACAGTGTAGCATGAATTCTCTTTGGTCTTAGTAATAAAAACTTAAGAGTCAGTCGTCAGTGGGTGAAAGCTGAAGGATCAGAGAAGCAGAGTGGCCAGTCTCTAGAGAGTTCTTACCTTTACCAATACTGGGGCCAAAGGGGAGATCCTGTCCTCAGACTGCATCCCCAGACTGCTTCCTCAGACTGCCTGCCTCCTCAGACTGTGTCCTCAGACTGACTGCTCAGACTACATCCATCTCTCTATGAATCCTCAGACTGCACTGAGCTCCTGTCTCCTCCCGCCTTATATTCCTTTCTTCCAGTCATATCACTTCTGTCTCTACTTCCCTTGTGTTGGAATTAAATGTTTGTGATCCCAAGTGCTGACATCACCTTTGTATGAGCTCTGTTTCTCTTTTAAACTAGATCAACTTCATGTAACCCAGGGTGGCCTTGAACTCACAGAGATCTGTCTGCCTCTGTCTCCCGAGTGCTAGGATTAAAGGTGTATGACACTACTGTCTAGCCTCTAATGCTAACTAGTGTGGCTACTAGGATTAAAGGTGTGTACCACCACTGCCTGGCCTCTATGGCTAGCTAGTGTGTCTAGCTTTGCACTCTGATCTTCAGGCAAAGCTTTATTTGTTAGATCATAAATAAAATATAATCATACTACAGTTCAGACCATTGTTCTAAACAAACAAAAAAACTTAAGTTGGTGATTTTTTGTGTGCATTTTAAACACACAATTAAACTAAACATACTTTTATAATGTACAATTCAATAATAGCAACCTTTTATATTTGCCCAAATTACCCAAGTTTCCTGTCCATACCAACTCCTGCATATTGATGCATATGGTGGCTTTACTTGTAATTGCCCACACAAGTAAGTGACTTAGAAACCTTGATGTAAATGGAGACAAATCTACGTGGTGTGTCATGCAGTGGAATGCTGGTACTAAAAGGGAGACTTCAAGCCATGAAAGACAAGGAGGAAACTTAAGTGCTTGTAACAAAGTTGGAGAAGCCAAGCTAAAAAGTTCAAATACTGTGTGATTCCAATCAAGCTAAAAAGTTCAAATACTGTGTGATTCCAATTACATGACATTCTGGAAAAGCAGAAAAATATGGAGAAAAAAAGATACTGTTGCCATCAGGGAAAGAAAAATGAATAGATTGAATGCAGGATTTTTATTTTTAACTTAGCATTTAAGCAAAAGGTTTCTTCATAGCATTTTCATATAATACACAATATATCACATAAGTGTTATATACAATATATAATTTAGTATAACATGTATATAATATATTATGCTTTGTTCTTACTCATTTTTCTCTCTCAAAGCCTCCCCATATCCTCACCTCCCTCTTGCTGATTCCCTTCCTCCTCTCATATAGTCTTCCTTTCTGTTTCGAGTCACATGTATGCGTTACATACTGTCTATCCTTTAGATCATTTACTCCTCTCTTGTGGTCCCCACTCTACTTTCATGACCTACACAAATACAATCAAGGTTTTAAATCAAGGTTCCTCACATGAGAGAAAACACTCAGTATGTGTCTTTCTAAGCCTGGCTTGCTTTGTTTAGCACAATGATCTTGCTTTGTAAACATTTCCTGCAAATGGTTTAATGATTCTGTACTGTTGAGTAGAATTCCATTTTGTAAATGCTCTACACTTCCTCCATCCATTCAAATGTTGTTGGGCATCAAAGCTGGCTCTACTTCTTAGCTATTAAAATACAAAATATTTTAGGACAGTGAAACAACCTTATATGATATTTCGGTAATAGACGTCACCATTATACTTCTGTCAAAAACCTTAGAACATAGAACACCAGCAGTTACCTCACATACACACTGTGGGCTTTGTAAGAAATGATGCATCATTGTAGGCTCATCATTTGTAATGGATCTTCAGCTCTAGCATAGGCTATCAGTAGTTGGGGAGGTTGTGCATGTGTGTGGCAGGGATGTGCTGTCTGCTCAGTTTAGGTTGAATCTAAAAAATTCTCCATAGAAATGAAAATCTGTTTTTTATAAAGGGCCAAAATGTACTCTGAAATTTTGTGTTTAGTAGTTAGAAGATAAGGAAGTAAAGAGATTCTCAAGGTTGCCAAGATAGTTGTAAATATTTTTTTTTCTTGTTGTTTGTTTTGTTTTGTTTGCTTTTCAAGACAGGGTTTCTCTGTGGTTTTAGAGGCTGTCCTGGAACTAGCTCTTGTAGACCAGGCTTGTCTCGAACTCACAGAGATCCACCTGCCTCTGCCTTACGAGTGCTGGGACTAAAGGTGTGCGCCACCACCGCCTGGCTTGATAGTTGCATCACATTCACTGTCAAAGGTTTCTAGAAATGTCCTCTGAAGGGGATAAAATAGGATAATTTTCAGTGTCTCAGTCCTCACACAAAGAGAAAAGAAATCAATAAGGACATACATGAGAAGGTAAAATACTAAACCATATATGACCATATATGACTTTTAGTCTAAAAAACTAAATATGTGGTCATTGAGGAGTAATATGTTCTTTCCCCTCCTCTCTCTACAGATTCAGAATGTCCTTTATGAATTTTTTCAGAAGCCAGATTTTCATCTTGGTAAATATGACTATTACTCTACCATTCGTATTTTGGGGAGGGAGGTTGACATCACATAGTCACTACTAAGGCCTATGTTGTTGGAAGTGCTTAAATTTAAGTTAGCCTCCTCTGTTCTTCCCATGGAAGTAATCAATCATCCTTAGTCTTTTCAGTCCAATGCTCCCTTGTGTCACAAATACTGGGTTAGTACCTGCCTCCTTTATTATACTGTGACAGTTCTAGAAAATAGTAATTATAGAATTTGGAAGAAAAACATAGTGCCATATTAAAATAAAGGAATTATACAAAGAAAGGCACTAAAATTATATATAGGGCAGAATGATAGCTCAATGGTTAAGTGTAATTACTGAAAAATTAGGGTCAGAGTTCAGATCCCAGCACCCATGGAGCAAGCCTGCTGTCCTGAAAATGGCTGTAATGGCAGCTGTGAGGGATCCAACAACCTCTCCTGGCTTCCACAGGCCCCATGCCCCCTCACATGTACT